TAGCGTTAAACTCTACTATTGATCCCTAAATAAATCAAAAACTACCCTTTTTGTCTCAATAGTCTATATTGGTACCATGCCTTGTCGCCCAATCTATCCCTTAAATCAAATCAAAATCTTGAACATCTAACACTATCAAATTAGTCTCTAAACTTCTATCCTCAATTCGCACTGGACACTCTCTAACTATACATGCCGACTCCATAAATTCTCTAAAATGGATGACTATATGATACCCTACAACTAATGCCTCAAGTTTAACTCCTAGGCTTTTCACTAATGTTTTTTATATGAATGAATGTGTAGCACTAGAATCAATCAAAACATAAGTAATCAAGCCAAGGATTGAGACATTATCATAAATCACCACCACATCCCTCCTATCGACCTCCTCTTGTGTTATCATGTAAACCCAAGTAAGTGCCCTTCCCGATCTTGGTTTTCGCACCTAAGGGTAATTGTAGGATACGTGCCCTCGTTTGTGACAAATATAACAAGTCTTCAAGTGAGGTTGACACTCCCTATATGGAACCTCCCACATTTATTGCATCAAGGTTGGTTACCCATCATCGATCGTAGGTGATTACCCAACGACGGCCTTGGAACATACAAGGTCTTGGTCTAACGACTCGTGCATTTCCTTGACCATTACCTCGATTAAATTTCTAGTTGGGGCTCACCTTACTTGCTCGGACGAAGAGGCTCCCAACATAAATGCTTACCTCTTTTGCTCGTACTTCCTTTATGATTTCCTTCTTATCCTCATCCACCAACATTACTTTATTTACCCTTTCTAGAAAAATGTTAGCAGTTGATATCTACACCATACTCTAAACTCTTGCGTTTAGCCCTATTAAGAATTGATTCTTTTTCAAATTTTCATCCCCCATAATGAATGGGACAAATCTACATCCTTGTTCAAATCTCTACACATATTTACCCATAGATATCCCATCTTGTTTCAATTCCAAGAACTCCCGAGTCTTTTTAGCCTTCACATCTGCAGTTAAGTATTTATTGTAAAAAAACTTCCTTAAACCCTTCCCGAGTTAAAGTAGGCAACTCTACCATTAACCATGCACTTTCGCACCATGTGCGACCGTCTTTGGTTAGCATAAAAATAGCACATGACACTCGCTTGTTATTGGTGAATTGCGGATACTTAAAATATTACCTCCGGAGATTTAATCCATTCCTCGACTACCATTGGATTAACACCCCTGTAAAACTCCTAGGAATCATTTTTTGAAATCTCTCCATTGCATCATTTCTATATTAAGGGGGAGGTCTGTTGTTGTATAGCTAAGAGCTGTCTCATCTACTCCACATCCATTGTTATTGTTGCATCGCTTTTTATTATTGTTACATTAACTCCAACATACGATTCAAGGCCCCATATTGATTCCCACTATTATTACCGGAGGTCTCTTCTCCTCTTTCTCACATAGAATTCCTCTTTGGTGACATGATATGACTTCGCACACACCATGTTATGTTCAAGTTAGTCTCGATATCAAAATCCTTTCTTTATTGCATACGACACACAATACAACGCATCCATGTGTATATATTCTAAGAATAATGTACAAAACGGACATATTAACAAACACATTTACATGCTAAGGTTTTCATGCCATACCTACAACCAAAAGACACTTCTATTTACATCAAATGATGAACAAAAGAAGTTATACCGTACGATACGTTTTCCCTAGTAATACATCTAATGCATCCGGTCAACGTATCGGACTCAATGAGAAAAGGAATAATCTATTCTCCACCAATCAATGCCATTAACCGATGTGGAGTTTACTATCCGACGAGTGAGACATAAGGGTAGGCACTAGTTATACATCAATCTAATGAGATTCCGCCTAACTCGCATCGGTAAAAAGGCTCAAATCAAGTCTCGATAAGAATTACGATCCACCTCATTCTCCCACACCTCATCCAATAATTATTGATCTCGTGGTAAAAGAGTTTGACACAATGTCATCCTCATAAAATCTATAATAAGATACCGATCAAATGAGGCATCGATAAACGTTATTCACTAGATCAAATCATGCACTCTAATAGCGTATGCCGCTAGATCCTAGGTCGTTGTCATGGTAAGGTCGCTTAGTTCGACTCGGTAAGCAACTAGGATGGCCCTTTGTCAACGTGTCCTAGCAACTCGAGCAACGAAAAGTATGTATGGCATCTACTATGGCAATATTGATAATTTACAACAATCTTCAATAACTAACGATATAAAAATACACAATAAACACACATTCACTAGAAACATGGAATCAAAATTTACTTATCGAGCAACACACCAGTTCTCAAGCTCATATGACACCGAAGACTCTACCCGGTTAACTAAACCTAGGCTCGATACCACCTCCGTAATGCCCCTAACTCACTTACTATGTCCCAATAAGAGCGACTAGGTTTGTTACATTATTAAGCCTAAAATCCCGACTAGTTCCTTATAATACGTAACAAAAATTAAATAAATATTAAGTAATGGAATATGTATAATAAAATTTATATGGTATTAATAATTACAGATCACAAGGATTATAAAATATCTACGATGTCGACTACAAATAGGAGAACAAGTATCCCTTCTCTACAACCCTTCAAAAGATTCCACTAATTTTGGGTAGCATATGAGCCCTTTTAGTGAGAACCGATAGCTTCCTCTATAGAACTATCTTTTTCCCTACATGTTACACCACGAAACCATGTCAACAACATCGCCCAAAGCTCAATAAGTAGGATGATGCACATGATATGCAATGATTTCTTACTACCTTGAATTCATCCATTAATTTTAGTTCGCGTACCCTAGGTATTAGCAAGTCCACTCCATTTCCATCTCTTGATGATTACCTTACCACCTACTCGCTAATAATGAAAGTATCCATCATTGTAGCACACGGTTAGCATAATTATCCATTGTCTAACTATGTAATTAAGTAATAAAGCACACACATAGCTTCATTGCTAATACCTATTTAATTCAGTTTCGATTACCAAACCTTATCAATTCTCAACCATTTGACTTTTAAATCTACCCATAAATGCATGTGATGCACAATGATGCTTCATTTACCATATCCGTTAAGTTATGGGTACCAAACCCTACATTCTCAAACCATTCTGAAAATTCAACCCACATTTAGAAACACATATATGTCTCGTATATCTTATATTTATTTAAGAAAATCAATTACCATCGAATATAATGAATTAATCGATACAATTCACTCCTTTACTAAGTATCTTCTTTTCATATGATATATGCTTAATCCCTAATACCATTGATTTCATCCTATAGTTTGATACCACTTAGCTTACATACACATTAAGCATAGGGACCAATTGAATAAACATTCAAGATGTAATTTCTTATTCTAGCCCGAATTTGGCCTTAATGGTTTAACAAATTTAAGCCATTTTCTTCAATTTTCTTGAAATTTTACCTTCCTACACTTCAAATTATACTTGCTCAAGTACAATTCAACTAACAATTCTAGATTTGGATGAGTGAAACTTAAAGCCTAAAAATCAAAGTTTAGGTCAAATATACTCTAAGGATTTGCATAGATCATTCTTCAATTAAAGTAAATTTTTTCATTCCTAAACACTAATTCATACTTAATTAAGCCATAATTAAGATCTAGCACATCAATCACATAAAAGCATCAAAATCCCTAATTTAAGCAATTAGGTCGAATAGTACCCTTTAAGGAACCTTAGGAACCCATCATCCATCATCCACCATTTCATATTTATTCCTCCCATATCCACATCAATAATTATTCTCTCCAAGTAATTTTGGTCCAAGCCCATCAATTTCTTAACCTAACCCAACAACAAATATTTAGGCATAAAACAAAGCTTTATAAACTTTAATGAGTAAGCATATCAATAAATCATCAAATACCCAATATAAACCAATAAACGCATATCAAGCCATCAAAACTCACAATATCAACATAAGCAATCAATAAAAGCATAATCATTAACTCAAGTAATTCACATCAATCAAACACTTAGAATTTTGAATCTATGGTGTAAAATAAATCCCTACTTACTTGATTCAAGTTTCTTAGAAAATATCTTAGTCTTTTTCCTCTCATTTCCTTCTTTCTTTCTTTCTCTTTTCCTCTTTTGTTTTCCTCTTCTTGTTCGGCTTTCTTTTTCTTTTAGTGAACTAAAATCTTCCAAAAGTGGCTGGCCATTCCTTAGCTTTCTCTTATATATATTTGCCTTTTCTTCCCTGATTAATGAACTTAACAAGTGTTCAAATCTAAGCTTATGAATTGTAAAGTGGTAGAAGGAATTAGAAGCTTAGGTGGCAAATTTTAATTAAAAGGCATGAGGTGTAAAGTAGTAGAAGAGTTTAGAAGCTTAGGTGGCAAGTTTGACTTAAAGGATAGGTGATGTGATTAAAACTTAATCCTAGATGTATTTTGGTTTAAGAATTTTAACACCCTCATAATGTTTATATAATATTTTTCATCTGCATGGCATATTCTAGATACGCGCTAGGGAAAAATAAATGGACAACTAACTAAGTTACCCAAAAATTTATTCTCATAAATAATCACATGAACACCAAATATATTAAAACCATGAAATATTAATATCTTATACAAATTACACTCACGTTTAGTGTATATATATATATATATTTATGGGAGTTACATAAACATCCTAGACCTTATGACATATCTTAGGTTTATAATGGTAGAGGCCTAAAGGTGACTCATAAATGCTAGGTTTTTGCTAATATGGATGTAAATTATGCCAACTATATTTGATGTCATTTTGTTCCTATAACTATGAGTGATATAATTTTAAGAAGGCCATGGCAATTTGATCATCGAGTTAGCCATGATGGGTCTACAAACACTAACACATTGACTCATTACAAAAAAAAAGGTATGGTTTAGAAGCCATTGAAAACTTGCAAATGTCCTTGTTTAACAAGTGTTGAGGCTTATATGATTGAGCATGATTATGTTGAAGAGGCAAGTGAGTATATGGATGATAGTCCAAGGTATGATGTCTATAATAATGGTGATTTAGATCTTCCATATGTTATCTATATTGGACGAAATAGGAAGATTTCAATTATGCATCATGACATGGTTGAGCAAAGTGAAATGCTTGATAGTTTTGAGATAAATTATGTTATAAATGAAGCTACCATTAAGGGTAATGATTCTACCTAGAATGGAGCTCTGTCACACATGTGTTAGAGGAAAAACTATATGACAAGGAGGCAATAAAAAAGGATGGAATAAGTTGTCAAGGTAGATTAGGTTACTACCAAGAGATTTCATTTTGTTGCCAGAAGAAAATGCCTATTTTAGAGCTATTGTTACCAAACTAGAACTAAATCATTTTGAGATTGCTACTATCAAAAGGAGTGCAAATGGTAGGGGAAAAAGAAAGCTTAAAAATAGCATTAAAGTTATCGTGTTTGTTAAGAAGATTCTAGTGACAACCATGCTGATTTATAAAGCAAGGAAACTTGGATTTAGGTTTCTAGATTCCAAACTAAAGCAACTTATACTAGGGAAGACTTGGTATGGGTTTGTGTAAGAGAGACGTAGATTACAAGCGATAGATTTATCATGATTGGCAAAGTGGAGGCTCCATTTTGAGTTGAGAAAAGAGTGAGCAAGCATTCTTCCATGTTTAGTCTACCTAGAGCTTCATCCATTTCAACCATATTTAAGAAGATTGATTTTTCCTTACTAAGAAGATGTATTGAATGAAGACCAAGATGTGAAGGTTGACTCTTCTCTAATTAGGGGAGCATGACATAGAGTGTCTAAACTCCATCAAGATTGAAAATTTCAAACCCTTAAAAGGTCAAGAGATTTGAGACCATCTATCTATATTCTTATTTACGTCTTTTAAATTTTGCTAGTTAATGTTTAGCGAAAGGAAAAGAATTTGATAGCCATAAAGTTTTTAATAAGAAAGAGGTCTTGATGAACATTGAAGTAGACATCTTAGGTATTGTAATTATGGTTTATTTGGGAAAATCCAAATTTTTTTGGGTTATCAAAAGTTATTTCAAAAACATGCCCAAGAATTAATGAATCTGTCAAACATGAGCATATGTCAATATTTAAATCATATCCAAAGCTACAAGCATTTGATTAAATCAAGTCAAAATCATAATGAGATACCACATCTAGACCTACAAATATTTTGAAGAACTCAATTCCAAAATATGCCATCTGTATGTCCAAAATTCGTGTACACTTTTCTATACGAATCGGTCTAGAAATAGCATTAAGTGAGGAGGTGGAAGAATCCACTTGGAAGTTGTTTTTCCTATTTGTTGGAATTATTTCCTATAGGAGTATTATATATTTAAAGTTGTATACTTATGTGGATCTATCTTATTGGACTAATTATGAAGTTATCAAATTAAATATGGATTAGATAAGAGAGTGTTTTCCCTATTCTAGTATTAAGGTTTAGCTAGGACTAGGTTTTTTAGTCTTCATGGACTAATTATGAAGTTCTTAAATTAAATATGAAGTCGATCATTATGAGAGGTATAGATAGTAAAGGTTATGCTACATTGTATTGGTCTTTGTTTCTTTTAATTTTATTAAGACTTGTTTGAGAACACCTAAATTTTATTAAGCTTATCCTCTTTGTAGAATCTAACTCATTATCATTTAGACCACACTTTCCTTTTTTTCTTTTAGCTATTATATTCTCTTGCTGAGTGAAAAAGTTCAAGGTTTGTTGTTCTTCCAAATCTAGTCTATTTTCTCATTTTCTTTTTCATGGCAATTCATTATGGACTTTAGAATTGTTTCAACATCATCTAATCATCGTTGTTACTAGAACGTGGGAAACTAACCATTCTCATTTTGAGATTTTGCTTTTCAGCATTGAAATTTATTTTTCATACAACCTCTTTTTTTGTTTCATCAAAGTTGTATGTGATAAGGAGCATTGACTTAGAAAGTCCCTACAATTTGACAAAGCTTGATAAAAACTTTTATCATGCAATTCTTTGAGATTTCATATTATTACCATGTTCTATGAATAATACTATTACATCATTATCCGGACGACCAAAGAAAAGGACTATCTAAGACTCGATCATATTTTAAAAAGGGTGTTTCAAGAGTTAAAAATCATATGTTTAATCATGAAATGCTTACACATGAAAAAGGTTTTTGAAAAACCATAACTCTATCTTCATTATATTGGGTAAGAAAAATTACAATTCTCATGTATAATTCTTCTTTACAACATCATAATTCATATGTTTTGTAAGTTCATCACCATCCATCTTCATAAAAAATGAGAGCTCTACTTAAAAATGCCTTCTTCACTCGATATGGACCTTTATAGTTAGGCATTTATTTACTTTGATCCACCCTTGGGATTTATACGACCTTTTTCAACATAAGTTGTCCTTCTTAAAAATTTCTTCGATGTCTTTTTCAACATATTCCTTTGTCATCCTCCTTTGTTACAATTATGCATGGAAAATAGTGATAAACCACTTTTCACTTATCGGATTCAACTTCTTATATCGAATCTTTACCCATTCCGCCTCTTTTAGAACCCTTAGAGTTGGTTTTTCTAGTTCTAATGGCATCACTACTTCCATCCCATACACTAGGGAATATGCGGTTGCCTCGGTTAAATTTCTAATGGAAGTTTGATATGCGTAGAGTTGAAATGGCCATATCAAATGTCATTTCTTATATGTCACTACCATCTTTTGTATGATCTTCTTTAAATACTCTTGTTGGCGACTTTCGTAGCCTTATTTATCTTAGGCTTTTATAGATAAGAATTATAGCACAGTGTATAATCTTCCAATGTGTGCATAAGTCAATCATCAATTTTCCATTTAATTGTTTTAGCTTATTAGTTATTAGACACTCTAGAGAGCCATATTGATAAATGATGTTTTTTCTCAACAAAGTAATAGAATAACTTTTGAGTTGCACATGCAAAGAAAATAGCTTTAACCAAATTCATGAAATAATCAATTGCAATAAGAATGAAGTGATGCCTATTACTTGCTTTAGGGTTTATCACCCTTTTTCACATCCATATCCCCGCATCACAAATGGCCAAGGTGATACCATGTTGTTCGAGAGTACCGAGGGAGCATTTATGTAAGATGTATGAATCTAACCTTTGTTACACTTCTACATATAATCAAGGCAGTCATCCTATACATTGATCCAAACATAAAAACTTTTTAATTTTTTGAGAAATCAAGTTTCTATTAGCTTGTGTAATGCAAATTCCCTTATGGACTTCTTTATGGCAATTCTAGCATTAGTCACATCTAGACATCTTAATAAAGAGCCATTAAAGATTATTTTATATAGGATCACATCATCCAAATAAAATTTTATTGTCAATCATTTAAGTGTTTTTCTATCAAACTTAGAAGTAATCAATGAATGCTCAATGCTCTTAATGAATTGCTTTATATCATGATACCATGGCTTCTCGTTTGGTTCATCTTTGATTAGACAACAATGGTATGTCTGAAGCATTCCTAGTATGGATTTTTAAATATATACTTAAACGGATCCATCACTAAAGCTAAGTAGTATATAAAGTATGTATTGTCTTAAACATCGGATGTTAGAGTATGCCCTAGAAGCAAATCATAGTTTGATTGTACTAATATACACTTATCATGTTGTTATTATTATTATTATTATTATTATTATATAAGGCATTCCATTTATTATGTTTATTTATTCTTGTATTTTATTAAATAAACATGATGATGTCCCAAGAATATTAGTATTCTTAAATGTCCTTAGTCAAGTGTTTTATTATTGATATATTAAAGGAGCAATAATAAAACGTAGAGACTGGAATGTGTATTGACCGATAACAATGTGTTATAGATCCGAGATATCAAGTTGACACATAGGTACATGTTGGAGAGCATGTATTAGATCGACTTATCATGAGATCACTACATAGATCGTTATATGAGTATCATAAGTTGGTCTCATTATCATTGTGGTGTACGTAGTCCATCAACTTGAAGTCATTACGAGTTCCCTACATGAAAAATCTTATATTTTGATACCATCAAACATCATCTATAACGGGATAGATTATAAAGTCTGGTTATTGGATATACCGTGAATCATGCAAAGGGATGTGAGTGATGTAGATAAGATTTATCCTCCTATATAACAAGGGTGACGTCTATAGGCCCCTTGTTTAAGTGAGATTGTAAATTGCATGGCCATGTTCAAATGAATCGATAAGAAATATCGATCTCATTTCTTTAGAGCAATCAACTCATAGATCAAACGCTAAGATTAAACTCTAAGTCTCATGTTTAATCTAGACATCTAAGACAAATGGACTAGACTACATGTTAACATATGTCATCGATAAGATTATGCTCGAATCACTAATAGTCTTATTACTTGGGTAGCATTGATGCTAGATGCCAATCACTATTTGTATTCTAAATTATGATTTTAAGATCATTACCAACATAATAAGAGCCTATAGGATCACACACAAAGAGCGACTCAAAATTGAAGTATGACCAAAAGTCCTAATTGGATTAGGATTTCTTGTCAAGTTAAGATTACTAATTGGATTAGGATTCCTAGTTAGGTTAAGATTCAAGTGAGACTGGGATACATTCTAGATTATAGTATTTAATCATACGAATAAGCTAATTCAATTAAGACATATAAAATTGGCTTAATGAAGTCCAAGTCTAAGGTTGTTGGACATTAATTTATTAAAATAATCATCCTATGATTTATCTCCCCTTAGGGTTAGGAAATTAGTATCCTAATGGGACTATGGCTTATGTATGTTCTAGTTGTTTTAAAATACAATAAACACATAATATATATATATATATATATATATATATATATATATATATATATATATATATATATATATAAGAAACTATGAAGAAAGAATTCCTAATAACTTTAAGAGAAAACCCTAACCGTCTTAAGTGGAAGAGTGATCCACCTTTAACTCACAACTCGTAGCTAGCACTTTAACCTCGAGGTGATTCTCCATTCTAGAATTGTTCCGGTGATCCAAACATTCATGTGGATACCGATAAAGGTGCGGTTGTAGATCTATGCTTAAGATTCGGGCATCCTTCATGCAAGAGGCATGATCTACGCTACAAAAGGTAATGATCTAATCATCCGACTTTGTTGTTTTC